CCCCCGCTCCAGCCTTTGGGACTCCCGGCCACCTCCTCTCCCACCCCCGTGCCATGCTGCCCTCTGCTGGTGAAAAGGCCAAATAACGGCCCCAGCCCAGAGACCCGCCAGAGGGGTTCTAACGATCAGCCAAGCTAAGCAGTGACCCTAGCAAGTTAACAGCCTACTTTCCTGGCTCTGTCAGCCTTTCATCAGGCCCCCAAGCTGACAGCAGATTGAGCTGAGGCCACCAGAAAGGTGACTTGGCTTTAGCCTCTTGCTGACGGTCCCCATCTCCTCACAGCAACTCCAGGAAGAGGGAGACCGTGCATAACCATGCAGGACCTTGCATGGTGAAGGGTGACACCCAGTGATGCAAGTATTAGGAGGATATAGCCATGGTGGCCTTCTGCTGGAGGAATAGCCACTAGCCATAAGATGGAGAAGGGTGGGTGAAAAGACAAATTTCACTTTCAAACACTGCTTCGTCTCCTCTGTGTCTAATAGTTAAATATGTGAAATGAATAAAGTCCCTTGTATCTGGTAAGTGGTGAGTCTAAAGCCACTAGACTGAGGGGGTGAAGGGAAGGGGCAAGTTTGAGTTTTTGGTGCCAAGTTCCAGCTTTTTTCTGGCAGGACTGGGAAGTGGGGGCCAGAGGACAACTCAAGCCTGGAGAACTGCCTCAGATAATGGCAAAGAGGGGCGTACCTCCTGCACGTCCTCAGCCTTTCATGGGAAAGGTGCCTCACAGCTGGAATGGACCTTCAGGGAACAAAAGCTCAGATGGTTCAAGGCCAGGTTCCTGTAACTTTAGAGACTCTGGCCACGAAGGGTTAGCGTTGCAGAACCTCTCAACCAGAGTTTCATTAAGCATTTTTCAAGTACCTGCTCGGGGTTAGGCCAGTGGGGATGCAGCTGTGAACAAGACAGGCCGAGGAGTACCAGCTTCCAGCCAAGGCTGGAAGGTAAGGCAGGTGGTCTTCAACTTCCCTGAATTGGGCAGGGGTCCTTGAATTGGGCAGTTAACACCCACCTAGGGACCCAGAGCAGGCCGCTTCCTCTGAAGCCACTGGCCACACACATTTTCCTGTGCTCCTCCCTGCCCAGACCAGCACCCCTGGATAGTTACAGGGACTGGCTCCCAAAGCTCTGCAGCCCCGGGCCAGGACTGGAAGTTCCAAGCCATGTGGTGAGGACTCAGGACCAGTCATCTCCAGCCTCCAGCTGATTGATTGAGAGCAGTTCAAAAATCCTGACATGCATCAGTCACCTGGGGAGCTTGCTTACAATGCAAATGACCAAGCTCCAGCACAGAAATCTCCATTATGAACACTCCAGATGATTCCAAAGCTCTAAGATCCCCACTTTGGAAATCAGGCTTAGAGCCTCCTGACATGCATCAGTCACCTGGGGAGCTTGCTTACAATGCAAATGACCAAGCTCCAGCACAGAAATCTCCATTATGAACACTCCAGATGATACACACACACACACACCCTTTCTTTGGAAATCAGCGGCTTAGAGCCCCCATGTGGTTTACAATTGCATACACACACACACACACACACACACACACACACACACACCCTTTCTTTGGAAATCAGCGGCTTAGAGCCCCCATGTGGTTTACAATTGCATACACACACACACACACACACACACACACACACCCTTTCTTCCTAGATTTAAAAGACTGAAAAGGGATCGATTAAGGTCTTTTTTTTTTTTTTAAACTCCACTGACACCACCACCGCACAACCAAGCCTACCGCTGGGATGGTGTGTACGATGCTGAAGTCGCTCGCCTGCCTGCAGCCATACAGCTCAGTGGGTGAGTTAAAGGGCCAACTAATACCAGCTCTGTCCTCTGTGTGCCACGGGGTGGTGAGGTCGGGGCTGCACCGGACCTCACGGCAGCACAGGGCCAAGGAGCCGGGAGCCTTTGGCTTTCAGAGAAGGGACAAGCTGGAGGCCCCGGAGAGAGTGCCCTCGGCTTCGGCGCCGACGCCCCACCCTTACTGCTGGCAGCCCAGAGAGAGGGGCGAGGGGCCTGCCCTGGGCAGGAGGCGGGTCCAGAGAGGACACTGCTTCACTCAGGCCGACAGAGGCCTAGGCCGTCGGGGCTTTATTTGACACCACTTAGTTTCAATACAAACAGTCCAGAAAGAAAGTCACATCCCTTTGGGTGAGGGGGTGGTGGGAACAGTGGTCTGTGTTGCTTGGGACCTCAACCCTCAACCACGGGGTGGCGCAGGCCCAGGCTGCCAGCACAGCAGGGGACGATGGCACCAAGGATGAGTGTGTGGCCCAGAGGGGTGAGACCTGCAGCTCCGTAGGCACCTCAAGCTCTCAGCGGTGGGATGCTGTCCAGGCCCCAAGACCCAGATGATGAGGAGGAAGAAAGCTGAGCCCCAGGAGCCTGCTTCTGTCCCTCACGTCCTCTGCTTTCTTGGCCAGCTTTACACTCACAGCATCCAGAGCAGAGCACAGGGCAGATGAGACCCACCAAGCAAGAAAAGAAGGGACAGAGTCTCGGGAGGGGATAGCGGGTCCCGTGGTCCACAATGAATGGTGTGGGAGGCCTCCGAGACACCCAGGAGGAGAAGTAATCCTCCAAGTGATCACTGTTAAAAGGGGCAGTGAGACAGGAGATCACTCGGGCCTCCAGTCTGACCCCAAATGAAACCTTTAGGTACCAGGTAAAGTTTCGAGCCCTCAGTAAGGCCCAGACGAAGGTCCTTCCCCTGCCCTGCCCTCTCCTGGTGCCCAGAAGAGACCACTGGAGCAGCAACAGCAGCAGCCAAGTGCAGAGCCTCCCTCCCCCGGGGGCTGGTCTACAGCACAACTCTTTCCAGACCTCCCTGCTGGTTCCAGAGGTGGGGCCAAACCCCCAGACAATCTGGAAAGATCCTAGAGCCAGCAAAAAAGCCTTATACTTTTCACTT